TTAAAGGGGGGAAGCTAATGCACCATCAGCAACGACGGAGCGGGAGAAGCTGCTGGTATGCCGTGGCCTGGTTTCTATCCATTCAAACTGTTTGGGCGATTCCCCCGCCCCCCATATGAGGGTCCGGGGGAGCATGTCATTTTGTGTGCTTGAAATTTCCCCCTCCGCAGGTTTATGCACTGACCTCCCTCCCCTTCATGCCCAGCCTCGTGGAGCTGTTTTCATTATTGGCTCAGTATAGGAAGGGTTTGGAGCCCTTGGAAAGCAATACAGAAACGCCAGCTACTGCTCTATGCTCGCACCAGTGTGTGCTATTGCCGTTATACCCAGCTTCCTCCCTCGTTGTTGCCTCTATCCTCGAGTTTTCTTAAAAAGCCCCAGAGCTGCTTCCCTCACTAGCTCTCATTGGAAAGGGGGTGCGTCTCGACGTGCTCACAATACACGGGGGGGGGGGGGGTTTAAAAGCTGGGTGTCTGGGATGCGACTCTGCTCCGCTCCATGCCCAGGCTTTCTACTTGCGCTCTTTCTCTCTCTGCGGGTATGATGAGCTGGAGGTTGGGACGAAGAGCAGAGAGTGTTCCCTCTAAGCTGAGGTTGTGTGAGCTACTCTACCTGACGGTTTCTGAGCCTCCGGTTCGCACATTTTTTGGGCTCGACTCAGGAAGGACGACTCCAGAGTAGACTGATCGATGCGGCAGCCAAATCGCTACCTCACCTCTTTAATGCCAGTCGCTCATAAAGTAGAGTTTTTGCTCGCAAGGCTCCACAACTTAGAGGGAGCTCCAGAGCAAACTGATACATCTCTTCTCACAGTGGGGCGGGGGGACGAGCTCAGGAACTGCTGCAACAGGCCAGGCACAGGCAGTGGAGCTCAGTCACAGACTGCCGGCCAGCCACGCCGAGGACAAAACCGAAAGCACCAGATGTCCTCGTGACCAGGGGGAAATGGAAACTGACGCTCTAGAACCATAGAGACTTGGGGGACTTAAATTCTAGAGCGTCACTTTCCGTGTCTGGCTCAAGGTCAGTGATTATACCGTCGTGTTTGTCAAGGACATTGAGGTCTTTCTTGTATAGTTCTTCTGTGTATTCTTGCCATCTTTTCCTAATCTCTTCTGCTTCTGTTAGGTCCCTACCGTTTTTGTCCTTTATCATGGCCATCTTTGCATGGAACGCTCCCTTGATTTCTCCAATTTTCTTGAAGAGATCTCTAGTCCTTCCCATTCTATTGTTTTCTTCTATTACTTTGCACTGTTCATTCAGGAAGGCCTCCTTATCTCTCCTTGCTGTTCTCTGGAAATCTGCATTCAGTTGGGCAAATCTTTCCTTTTCGCCTTTGCCTTTCGCTTTCCTTCTTTCCTCTGCTATTTGTAAAGCCTCATTAGAAAGCCACTTTGCTTTCTTGCATTTCTTTTTCTTTGGGATGGTGGTGATTGCTGCCTCCTGGACAATGTCACGAACCTCTGTCCATAGTTCTTCAGGCACTCTATCTATCACATCCAGACCCTTGAATTAACAAATCGGAGAAGACTTCCGGTCTGTGGCTCGGTGATGGCGGACGCTCTCCCCTACCTCTGGGGAGGCGATTCGTGCTCCAGTGGATTGGAGGGGTGCCACCTCAAGTGACACCCCCAGGTGAGCCTTAGGGTAGGCTCCAGGCCGGGGGCACTGGGGGGGGCGACCTCTTCGATGGCGTAATGCCGGAGAATTGAGGCGCTCCTTTTTGCCCCAATCGGTCCGTCCACTGTGTGGCTCAGTTTTAAACTGAGCATAGCTGAGGCCAACCGGGACAAGCAGGGAAGATCAGCGAATTTGCGAAGCTACGAGAGGTCTAGCAATAGACCGCCAATGATCCAGAGAAAGAACCAAGCGGAAAAGTTTTAAAAGTGAGTTCCCCCCCCCCCCAAAGGAAAGCGGTGTCGGGAGGAAACCCCAGATGTAAACAAACGAACTGTGTTGTATAAATGGAGGGGGGGAGAGAAGAAACGTTAAAGTGTGTAAGAGACTTAGCTGCGTCGACGAGGAAAAACAGGCGTTTTTGAAGAAGGGTGAAAATGGTACTTCTAGTGTAAACAAAGTTGAAAATGGCCGGCACGCGAGGAAGGGGGGGCAGAACGACAGGGCAAGGCGGTCAGAGTCCGAGACCGGAAGAGATGGGTGACGTGTTCTCCATGTTATCGGAACTGCTCAAGCCGATCAACGAGAGGCTCAATGGTATTAACTAACAGATGACCGCTTCAAACCAAAGCCTGGCAAAGCAGCAACAGCAGATTGCCGAGCTAACCAAGAAATCGATACAAACAGAAGAGAAACTAAAAGAGACTGTACACGATACCAAGAAAGTTAAAAAGGAAATGGGTCTGTTGGAACAGAGACAAGACTTTCAGGAAAGAAGACTGCTGAACTTGCAAATGGAGAAAGCGAATAAGACACTCAGGTTTCAGGGTGTTGCTGAATCGCAAGGAGAAAACTTGAAAAAGATGATGGCAGAGCTTATCGCATCGGCGGTGGTGGTGTCAACGGCAGAAGCAGAACCGGAAATTGAGGTGACTTATCGGTCATACTCAAAATATATAAAGCGAAATAACCTGCCAGGTGAAATTGTCGTCAAGTTTCTCCGAAGACAGACTAGGGATTAAATCCTTAAAGCGGCAGCAACAAACCCCCTAAAGCTGGGAGAAACGGCCATAAGGGTCCTAAAGGACACTCCGTTTGAGGTTCGCCAGAAAAGGAAAGCGTATAAAGAACTGATTTCAATCCTACAGATCAACCAAATTCCGTACTCATGGAACTTTCCTGAAGGTGTCATGTTTAAATATAGAGATAAAAGGGAGAAAATCGACTCGGTTTTAAAAGCTGAAGAATGGATGAGACAGCACTTTGGACCGACAGAAGAGGAACAACAGGAAAGAGATGGCGGAGCAGGCACTACAGAGAAAGACACGGACGAAGACCAAGGTGCAGCGGGCGGTGTTCCAGTCAGAGAAACATATGACTTGCGGCTTAGAGGACCAAAGTAACTCTTTATATCATTAGATCTCGCAAATGAAGAAGATGATGAAAGAGACTCGATGCACACCTGAAGAGCTGGAGTGAATACTAACATGAACTGACTAAATCTCTGATTCATTGATTTAAATGGAAAGTTTAAATTTTAAAACTAACTGAATACTAACTGTTAAAGATCTTCCCTCTTGGGCTTTTAGTCATAGTGTGGGTTTAATTTACTGTCCTTTCATCTCGAGGTACTTTTTCCCTCCCCCTTTTCTTTTTCTGTTAGTCTGTAGGTGTAACAAAAAATTAATAAAGCTACCCTGACTTCAGGGGATTTAAAAAAAAAATCGGAGAACCTGTCTGGGGATGTCTCATCCTACCCCAGACCTGGATCCCCTTTCCCGTGACTGGCATTCTAGAAGAGAGTGCGGCAAAAGAGTTAGAAAGCTCTGTTCTTTGCTAGCCCATATTCCAAGGGGTCCCCCTAGAAGTGGGGAGTTTCTCTTGGTCAGTTCGAAAAGTGGGGTTATCTCTGTATCATGGAGTTTAGTCAAACCTTAGGGGTGTATCCTAATGAATGCCTCCCTTCAAACTTGAGTGACCACTCTGAAGGTTTTGGTTTGCTAGACAAGGGAGGGCGAGGGCTGTACTTGGGTAGGCATTTGGGGAGCGAGCCAAAACCCAGCACCTTGGATGTCTGCTAAACAAGCGCTCTACTTCTCAAATATAATATCTTTCTAAATCGCTCATTTCTCTGTCATATTTATAATTATTTCCCACATTCCGCAAATCAGCACTAAATCAGATAATTGCAACTGAAACCTAATTCCAGGTATGCTACAGCTCCACAACTAGGAACTGAATTGGGAGCAGAGGCCTCTCTTGCCAGTCAGTATCCTATCAGTCATCCCTGGATTATGTTGCTAACCAGATTCTTTCTCATCTCTCCAGGGTCTAGCAATCCCACCACCACCCCCAAGCCATCCACCACCAGCACCGAGTCACCCACCACTGACACAACCACCCGGGGACCCTCCACCGCCAGCACCGAGTCACCCACCACTGACACAACCACCCGGGGACCCTCCACCGCCAGCACCGAGTCACCCACCACTGACACAACCACCCGGGGACCCTCCACCGCCAGCACCGAGTCACCCACCACTGACACAACCACCCGGGGACCCTCCACCGCCAGCACCGAGTCACCCACCACTGACACAACCACCCGGGGACCCTCCACCGCCAGCACCGAGTCACCCACCACTGACACAACCACCCGGGGACCCTCCACCGCCAGCACCGAGTCACCCACCACTGACACAACCACCCGGGGACCCTCCACCGCCAGCACCGAGTCACCCACCACTGACACAACCACCCGGGGACCCTCCACCGCCAGCACCGAGTCACCCACCACTGACACAACCACCCGGGGACCCTCCACCGCCAGCACCGAGTCACCCACCACTGACACAACCACCCGGGGACCCTCCACCGCCAGCACCGAGTCACCCACCACTGACACAACCACCCGGGGACCCTCCACCGCCAGCACCGAGTCACCCACCACTGACACAACCACCCGGGGACCCTCCACCGCCAGCACCGAGTCACCCACCACTGACACAACCACCCGGGGACCCTCCACCGCCAGCACCGAGTCACCCACCACTGACACAACCACCCGGGGACCCTCCACCGCCAGCACCGAGTCACCCACCACTGACACAACCACCCGGGGACCCTCCACCGCCAGCACCGAGTCACCCACCACTGACACAACCACCCGGGGACCCTCCACCGCCAGCACCGAGTCACCCACCACTGACACAACCACCCGGGGACCCTCCACCGCCAGCACCGAGTCACCCACCACTGACACAACCACCCGGGGACCCTCCACCGCCAGCACCGAGTCACCCACCACTGACACAACCACCCGGGGACCCTCCACCGCCAGCACCGAGTCACCCACCACGGACGCAACCACCCGGGGACCCTCCACCGTCAGCACCACCGAGGGCAACCACACAACAACAACAATGAGTAGCAACACAACAGCGCAAACACCATCCAATGTGACCCCCACCACCACACAGACACCTGTGCCTTTCTATCTCTCGTATCACATCATAAACAAGGAATTCAACGACAGCTTGACGGATCGCAGCTCTGCGTACTTCCAGCAGTTGAATGAGACCATTGGGCAGATGGTAAGTGCTGCAGGGGAGGAAGGGCACGTCGACATACGCCCCTTCCAAAAGTCTGCATGGGGGGCGGGACTGGTCAGGCACTAATAAGGCACTGCTCAGTCGACTTCTGCCCAGGGCCTCAGCCCCAGGACTTATTTTCGAGGCCTGGACACATCCCTGGAGCATGCAGACGAATGTCTCTGAGCATATGCAGAGTGCAACATCTGTTACTCATTCTCTTCAGGGCAGAGATGGGGCACAGTGATGTCCACCCATTCTCAGGGATGGAGGAAATGCCGCTTGGCAGAGCCTCGTTCCATTTAAGTTCGCCAGCCCTCACCCCGGGCTGTAGAGTTCCTACACATATAGCCTGTTGATTTGTGTAACAAGGAGCATGGAAAAACCTTCTCCCCCCCCCCCCATCACTCCATCAACATGTGAGGGAAAACATCGCCTGCTTGTCACACCCATACTCAAGGCATAGGAAACCTGCTAGAAGAAAAGTAGGCTGGAGACCCTGTTCCCAGCCTTTGAGCATGGGACAGCTAAGCACCCCAAACACCAGCCCGGCTTTTACCAGAGACGAAATTTATAGGAGCTATTTGTGGCTGGGATTGGGGCCTCACAGGACCCAGATAGCAGGCAAGAGCCTTGCGCAACTCCAGCTGAAGTAATCCTGGTGGAATCCCCTGGTCTGAGGCCACGCAACACCACAATACAGTTTGGTCAAGATTACATTTCTTTGGTGTGTACCTGCTGAAATTCACACCCTGGATCATGTCTCTCCCCCACCTCCCTCCACCCCTTTCAAAGGCTGGACTACAAAACCCAACCTTTCACCCTTTATATCTATCCCCTCCCAAGATCTGGAAAGGGAATATTTAGTGTCAAACTGCAGGGCATATAGCCACTTTCGTGATATTCTCCCACTCAATGTTCCCTCTAAGCTGAGTTAGTGTAAGCTTGTTGTTCAGTCGCACAGTCGAGTCCGACTCTTCGCGACCCCATGGACCAGATCACGCCAGCTAGCCCACAGTTTTTTAGCCTCCGGCCCACGCATTTTTGTCTTCGCTCAGGAGGGATGGCTCCAGAGCAAATTGATGCAGTAGCCAAATTGCTCACTCACAACTTTAATAGCAGGAGCTCACAAAGTGGAATTTTTGCTCACAAGACTCCACAGTTTAGAGGGATTATTGTCAACTAGTCAAAAGATGCAATTACTGAAGAACCTCTTAGAAAGTAAGCGCTCTGAGGATACAGCTAAACGTGCCAAATTTGGCTTGTTAGCTGTAAGGACTAGAAAGCTGCTAGTGAAAAGAGAATAGATGTAATTTGAGACAGGATTTAACATGTTTTACTTGTACGTGCTATTTTATATTTTTATTTTATACGTTTCTTTTATGCTTGTGTTTTATGGATTCTGACAAATTCAGTTTGACTACTCTATTAGATTGCTGCTTTTGCCAACAACTCTCCAAAGTGGGTTATGCTGAGACTAGTGACCCGTGTGAGGTAAAACAAGCTTTCTCTCACACAGAAACCCCCACCCCCAAAAGTTTTGTGGCAAGGTAGGGATTTGAGCTTAGGTCTCTCCAGTTCCAGTCTGATCCTCTCAGCCAGTTATCCCCAACCTTTTTGAGCTTGCAGGCACCTTGAGAAGTCTGGCACAGCGTGGTTGGCATAGTCACAAAATGGCTGCTGGTGGCAGGAGGCGGAGCCAATCACAAAATGGCTGCCGGGAGTGCGCGCCACAACCACGTTACCCGGAAGTGACGTGACCACACGCCGGGCACGCTGGGGGCGAGGCCACGACCATCCGAGGGAAAACCATAGAGTTTTCCCTCGGATGACAGTGGCCTCGCCCCGAGTGTGCCTGGCGTGGTCGCGTCACTTCCAGGTGACGTGCACATCATGTGCTTTGGTGGTGGGGTTCCCCCCGGGGCCCGATCCGCTAGCGGCGGGGAACAGGCCTCTGGGGTGTGGGTTTCCCCACCCCCCGGGGGGACTTGGCAAGCCTACTGCCGTGGCTTAACTCTAGTCACACAATGAAGATCCTTGTGCTGTGGTGGCAGCTGCTCCCGTAGCAATGTTTTTAAAACATCTGCACAGCCAATCAAATCTCCAACGGCCAATCAGGAGCCCTGCTGGGCAAGAGCCCACTTTCTAAAGATAATTGGTGGGCTCCCAAAAAGGCGTCATCCAGTGCAATGTCGCCCATGAGCACCACATTGGAGAACTCTGCTCTAAGCAGTGGGCCACACAGACATGCTGATTAGGGCGGTAGGAAGGTACCCTGGGAGCACAAGAAGTAATGTCAGAACATTCAGTAACGTGGAGACGTTTCACACACTCCCCCAGGCTCGGCTCCCTTGGTGAACCTCCGTTAATGGGACGCATTTCCAGCAGCAGAACCGGAGTCTTTTGCCTCCCCCTTTCCTGCTGCATCCCAAAATGGACTCCAAAATGCTGCTCCTGTGGAATGGGGATCCTCCCAGGAAGAGCAGGAGGGGCCAATTGAGGGCCTGCAATGGGAGGGAGGAGTCTGGGAGTCTCCTCCCCTTCCCGTTGGTGGAGGAAAGTGTCCTCAAGTCACAGCTGACCTCACAGGGTTTTCAAGACAAGGGACGCTCAGAGGTGGTTTGCCATGGCCTTCCTCTGCGTCACGACCCTGGCATTCCTTGGAGGTCTCCCATCCAAATACTAGCCAGGGCCAGCCCTGCTTGGCTTCCGAGATCTGACGAGATCGGGCTAGCCTGAAAACTAACGGTGGGATCCAGCCCCCAGTCTCCTGTGGGGGCGGGGGCCAGGAAATCACCTGGGAGCAGCGGGGTAAGTAGGGAAGTCTCAAAACATGGCTTCATCCCCCCAGCCCACGTTTTTGGATTTAGTGAATCCCGGCTAGTAGGATCTAACGCACGTTCCTTGCCCTTTCCCTCTACAGTATCGGAGCATCTACGGCTGTGAATCGTGCGTACTCAAAGAGGAGTACCAAGGATACAACATAACTAGATTTCGGTAGGGAATGCGGTCTATCTATACACAGATCTGATAGGTTGCCAGCTGTGGGTTATGAAATCCCTGTGGATTTTGGGGGGCGGAACCTGGGGAGGATGGGGTTTGTGGAAGAACCTCAGTGGAGTATACAGCCACAGAGTTCACCTTCCAAGGCAGCCATTTCTCCAGGGCGACTGATCCCTTTAACCTGGAGAGCAGTTGTAATCCCGGTAGATTTCCAGCCACTGCCTGGAGACTGGCAACGCTGGATGTCCGGGGGACGGGAATGACTGAGCTGTCATGAGTAAAGGGATGGCGGACAAGGTGAAGTCAGAGATTTGGACACCCAAGTCACTTCTCCTTTGCCTGGGGAGGGCAACATTTCGGGAGGAGCAGTCCACCCTCCAAAGCAGCCATTTTCTCCAAGGGAACTGATCTCTGTCGCCTGGAGCTGAGGTGTCATCCCAATGGATCTCCAGGCACCTATTATAGACCGGCAGTCCTAGGTGGGCGTGTCCAGCTTCTTCAGTGCTTGGATTATTTCCTAATCTCTCTCCTTTACAGGCCGGGCTCTGTTGCAGCAGACACAGAGTTGTTTTTCATGACGAGACAAACCCCTGAACAGCTTGCACAGACAGCGACGGACACTTTTAACAATGCAAGCACAACCGAACGGCAGGGATTGGAGCTGAATTCGACCCAAGGTGAGCCCCCCCGCAATCTCCTCTTCTCCAAACTAAACATTTTCCTCGTAGGGCTCAGTCTCCAGACCCCTGATCATCCTCGTCACTCTCTTCTGCACCCTCTCGATTTTGCCCACATCCTTTTTGAAGTGAGGCCTCCAGAACTGCACACAATACTCCAGGTGCGGCCTGACCAAGGCAGTATACAGAGGGGCTATAACCTCCTGCGATTTCGATGCCTTTTAATACAACCCAAGACTGAATTTGCCTTTTTTGCCACCGCATCACACTGACTGCTCATCTTTAGTTTACAGTCCACTCTTACCCCAAGATCTCTTCCGCATACACTACTCCCCAGAAACGTACCCCCCCATACAGTTTGAGATCCCTTACCTGGACATGAACAAGATTCTAATCCAGTAGCACCTTAAAAACCCAAACAATTTCCAGGGCATAAGCTTTTGAGAGTCTTCGCTCCCTTCGTCAGATAGAAGTACGAATGGAGATCCTCCCCGTCTGACAAAAAAGAGAGATTTGACGGTGGAATGGTCATCCCCCTCTGATCTCGTTTGGCTATGAGGGCCTGCCGGACTCAAACGATAGCTGTTCTACTGCAAACCAACAAGGTTACCCTCTGAAACTGTAAAGGGTTACAACATGAGAATCGTATCACAGGGAAAAAACAATAAATTCCATGTAAAGAGTAAGTCCAGTTGAGTTCTTGGTCATTATCGTGAGGAAGGAATCCCAAGTCTCGGTTTAAGCAAGGAGGAGAGGCAACCTTTTCTGGCTGTGCATATTTGGCGCTACGAGGGCAAGCCTGGACCCAAATTCCTTTCAGCACATTCTGGCCCAGAGATCTAAAGAATATTAATGGGCAGCTCTAGTGTGTGAGTGAAGTGCCGTCAAGTTGTAGCCGAATTATGGCGACCCCCAGGAAGACAAGTGAGAAGCAGAGGTGGTTGGCCACAGCCTTCCTCTGCAGAGCCTTCCTTGGTGGTCTCCCTTCCACGTACTGACTCTGCTTAGCTTCCGAGATCTAATGAGACCTGTGCATAAATGCCGCAAACTTACGGCAACCACAGCGAGGGGCTTTCAAGGCAAGTGAGAAGCAGAGGTGGTTGGCCACTGTCTTCCTCTGCAGAGTCTTCCTTGGTGGTCTCCCTTCCAAGCACAGTCCCTGCTTAGTTTCTAAGATCTGGTGAGACCTGTACATAAATGCTGTCAAATTATGGAAACCCCAGCAATTGGCTTTCAAGGCAAGTGAAAAGCAGAGGTGGCTGGCTATGGCCTTCCTCTGCAGAGTCTTCCTTGGTGGTCTCCCCTCCAAGTACTGATTCCATTTAGCTTCTGAGATCTGATGAGATCTGTACAGAAATGCTGTCAACTTACAGCAACCACAGCAAGGGGCTTTCAAGGCAAGTGAGAGGCAGAGGTGGTTGGCCACGACCTTCCCCTGCGGAGCCTTCCTTGGTGGTCTCCCTTCCAAGTACCAACTCTGCTTAGCTTCTGAGTTCTGATGAGATCGGGCTTTTCCAGTGCCGCCTTCCCTCCAGGCCAGCCAGTGGATCTCCTCCTGCATTTAGCCAGTGTGAGTGGGTGACAAAGGGGGAAAGATCCAGTCCCCAACTTTGTGGCAGGCTTCGGAGGGAGAATAATCCAGAGGATCTCTCAGAATCGAAGACCAAGTCGAAAGGAAAAGGTTTCTTCTACATAGGTACAAATTAAAAAATCAGAGACTCCTGTCTGGGGATGTCTCACCCTACCCCAGACCTGGATCCCCTTTCCCGCAGCCGGCACCCTAGAAGAGAGTGCGAGGAAAGAGTTAGAAAGCTCTGCACTTTGCTAGCTCATATGCCAAGGGGTCCCCCCCAGAAATTGGGAGTTTCTCTTGGCAAATTCCGAAAGTGGGGCGCTCTTTCAAACCTCCCACCCAAACCCGATCTGGCCAATAAACGATTTCCCCCAAGGTCACGGGACTCTTTCCACCCAGAGCCTCTAGTGCAGTGTGCAAAAGTAGGGTGCAGTGGGGAATAAATAGGGGGGGGGCGAGCAGGGACAACTCTACGTGCAAATCCCCCAAGTTGACAATCGGGCACGACGCTGTGACTGACGGACAGGAGTGATATCTGTACGCTGATCCCTCGTCCCGCAAATTCAGGATGCTTATGTGGTTTGCTTACCTCTGTATCGCAGAGTTTCCCCAGACCTTAGGGGTGTACCCTAACAAGTGCCTCCCTTCAAACTGGAGTGACCACTCTGAAGGTTTTGGTGTGGCAGACAAAGGGAGGGCGAGGGCTGTGCTTGGCCAGGCACGCGGGGAGCGAGCCAAAACGCAGCACCTCGCATGTCTGCTAAACAAGCGCTCTGCTTCTCAAATATAATGCCTTCCTGAAAGGATGATTTCTCTGCTATATTTATGATTATGTCACACTTTCTGTAGCTCGGGATTAAATCAGATAATTGCGATTGAAACCTAATTCCAGGTATGCTATAGCCCCACAACTAAGAACTGAATTGGGTGCAGAGGCCTCTCTTGCCAGCCAGTAGCCTATCAGGCATCCCTGGATGAGGTTGCTAACCAGATTCTTTCTCATCTCTCCAGGGTCTAGCGAACCCATCAGTGGCACAACCACCCCGGAACCCACCCCTGCCAGCCCTGAGACAACCACCCGGGGACCCTCCACCGCCAGCACCACCGAGGGCAGCCACGCAACAACAACGAGTAGCAGGACGACAGCGCCACCCCCATCCAGTGTGACCTCCACCACCGCACAGAACCCTGTGCCTTTCTATCTCGCGTATCACATCAAGAACCGGGAATTCGACAACACCTTGTTGGATCCCACCACTCTGTACTACAAGCAGATGAATGAGACGATTGGGAAGATGGTAAGTGCTGCAGGGGAGGAAGGGCACGTCGACATACGCCCCTTCCAAAAGTCTGCATGGGGGGCGGGACTGGTCAGGCACTAATAAGGCACTGCTCAGTCGACTTCTGCCCAGGGCCTCAGCCCCAGGACTTATTTTCGAGGCCTGGACACATCCCTGGAGCATGCAGACGAATGTCTCTGAGCATATGCAGAGTGCAACATCTGTCACTCGTTCTCTTCAGGGCAGAGCTGGGGCACAGTGATGTCCACCCATGCTCAGGGATGGAACAAGTGCCGCTTGGCAGAGCCTCGTGCCATCTGAGTTTGCCAGCCCCCACCCCACCCCGGGCAGTAGAGTTCCTACACATATAGCCTGTTGAACATAAGAACATAAGAGATGCCAATGTTGGATCAGGCCAAAGGCCCATCCCATCCAACACTCTGTATCACACAGTGGCCAGAAATACCAGTGCCATCAGGAGGTCCACCAGTGGGGCCAGGACATTAGAAGCCCTCCCACTGTTGCCCCCCCCAGCACCAAGAAGACAGAGCATCACTTGCCCCAGACCGAGAGTTCCTATCTATACCTTGTGGCTAATAGCCACTGATGGACCTCTGCTCCATATGCTTATCTAATTCCCTCTTGAAGCCGTCCATGCTTGTAGCCGCCACCACTTCCTGTGGCAGTGAATTCCATGTGTTAAACACTCTTTGGGTGAAGAAGTACTTCCCTTTATCCGTTCTAACCTGACCGCTCAGCAATTTCATGGAGTGCCCACGAGTTTTTGTTGCCTTGTGTAACAAGTAGGGGTGGGGGCCAGGAAATCACCTAGGAGCAGGGGGGGGGGCGCTAAGGAGGAGACCTCAAAATCCACCATCCCGTGTTTTGGGTTTTAGTGCATCCCGGCTATTAGAATCTAACGCACCTTCTTTGCCCTTTCTCTCTACAGTATGAGAACATCTACCACTGTCCTGGATGCGTACACAGAGATGAATACCGAGGATACAGCATACTTAAATTTGGGTAGGGAGTGCGAGCTATCTGTACACACCTCTGATAGGTCGGAGGGTTGCCAGGTGCGGGTTATGAAATGCCCGGAGATTTCAGGGGTGGATCCTGGGGAGGACGGAGTTTGCAGAAAGGAAGGGCCTCGGTGGAGTATGAAGCCACAGAGTTCACCTTCCAAAGCGGCCATTTCTCCAGGGCAACTGATCTCTTCAACCTGGAGACCAGTTGTAATCCCGGGAGATTTCCCGCCACTACCTGAAGACTGGGAACGCCGGATGTCCGGGGGATGGGAGCAACTGGGTTGTCATGAGTAACGGTAGCCTGGGCAAGGTGGAGTCTAAGACCCGGATACCCAAGTCATGTCTACTTTGCCCGGGGAGGGGTTTGAGGAGGGGCAGGATCTCAGTGGCACATAATGCCATGGAGTCCACCCTCCAAAGCAGCCATTTTCTCCAAGGGAAGTGTTCTCTGTCACCTGGAGCTCAGGTGTAATCCCAAGAGATCTCCAGGCCCCTCTTAGAGGCTGGCAACCCGAGGCGGGCGTATCCAGCTTCCTCGATGGTGTTGTAAGAATTTTGGATGTGTGGGTGTGTGTTTAACCCTGTCACCCACACTCCCCCCTCCTTCCCTCAGTTCGTGTGTCTCCTGTGTTGCCCCTTACCATAGGCAGAAGTGCAAGCTTGGAATTCACTAGTCTCTTCTTAAAATAAAACTTATCTTTATTATAGCAAAACATTCAGAGCCCTAGTTCCTAAACATTTGATATAAAACACACAGAAAAGTAAAACATGCAGCAAAGTTTCCCCACCCCATGCAAGCGCATCGAGAGATCTCCCTGGCTGTCTCCTTTGGAGTCAGCTAAAGTCTGTGGGCTCTGGACCAGTATTTAAACCCAACATCAAAGGAGGAGTTCTTTTTGATGATCATATCAGGTGTTGATTAGCATGGAAGTGGAAATTGCCTATCTGAAATTGTTTCCTGGAAGTTGCGATTGTATTACAGAAAATATTGTTTCCTTGGTCTTACACAATAAAAGTCCAAAGGGATCAATACAGTGTCATCCAGGTGTCCCCCAATCAGGGAAATAAACTGTGCTTTGATGTTTAGAGAGATGAAAAGCGGGGTATGTGTGTGAACTCTCTGTCTCTCAGGAAGCTAGTGTTATCTTGCCAGGTGTCCAAATGGCCACACATCTTTATTGGGGTTCTGCCACTTCCCAAGCCAGCTGCTTATTGTAAAGTCTCACACGCCCCTGGGCCTGGGAATGTAATGTTGAGTACATATTCAGTGAAAGAAAGGTCAAGCCTGTTTTTTTTTCTTTTTCTAGCCAGGGCAGAGCCAGATATTGTATATGGAATTCATAACTTAGTTGGTTCATTTTAAACCCAAATACTTCCATCTTTCAATATTTCTTACCACAGATGGTTGAATTCTTTTTTCTCTCTCCTTTGCAGGCCGGGATCCGTTGCAACATGGACAGTGTTGTTTTTCAACACAACTGAACCCCCTGCGCAGCTTGCAGAGGCATTGCGGCAGATCTTTGAAAGCTCAAGCCCAGCACAGAGGGAGCAATTGATACTGATTTCGATCCAAGGTAAGCAGGTATAGCCATTTTAGGACTGTGTATATACACTGCAGGGCAGCCCAGGATGTGGCATTAGGCATTAAAACCCAGATCTGAATCCAGTAGCACCTTAGGAAACCAACAGGATTTTTGGGATATGAGCTTTCAAAAGTCAAGGTTCCCTTGTTCTTCATCTGAAATAGCCACAGCAGAGCTATTGGGGAAGTTTAATGTGTACTAATGAGCTACATGTACAATTGGGCAAGCAACGGTTCCCTGGGCCTTTTCAGATAAACCACATGATGGCAAGAACCCCCCCCCTTCCTGTCCGTAGCGGTCCCACTCCAAATCAGCCCCCCCATGCCTGGGAATCTCGGTTTCAACAGGGACCTCCCAGTAGATGTCTATTCGACAGGGCCCAGGGCGAATGCTACATATAAGTACATGAATCTTTTGGGGCACCTGTATGAGATCCATCGTCTGGACGTGAGTAAAATTCTAATCCAGTCAAGGTAAAAGGTAAAGGTTTCCCTTGCTCGAAAGCCAGTCGAATCCGACTCTAGGGATGCGGTGCTCATCTCCGTTTCCAAGCCGAAGAGCCAGCACTGTCCGAAGACGTTTCCGTGGTCATGTGGCTGGCATCACTAAATGCCGAAGCGCACGGAACTCATTTTCTTTCCCACCGAAGCGGTACCTATTTATCTACTTGCAATTTCTTGCTTTCGAACTGCTAGGTTGGCAGGAGCTGGAACTAGAGACGGGAGCTCACTCCGTTATGCGGCACACTCGGGTCTCGAACTGCTGAACTACCGACCTTCCACAGCCTGCAGTTCAGCGTCTTAACCACTTGAGCCACCGCAGCTCCCTCTAATCCAGTAGCACCTTATAAACCCAAACAATTTCCAGGGTACAAACTTTCGAGGAAGCTCCCTTTGTCAGATACAAGCAGGCCTATCTGGCGACGGGAGCTCTGACTCTCAAAAGCTCATACCCTGGAAAGCTGTTTGATCTCTAAGGCGCCACTGGCCATGAAATCTGGCGGTTCTATCGCAGACCAAGATGGCTACGCAGTGTTCCCTCTAAGCTGAGTTAGTGTGAGCTAGCTCACAGTTTTTTTAGCCTCTGGCTCACACATTTTTGCCTCAGCTCAGGAAGGATGGGCTCCAGAGTGAACTAATTTATGCAGTCGCCGAATCGCTCGCTCACAGCTTTAATGCCGGCAGCTCACAAAGTAGAATTTTTGCTCACAAGACTCCACAGCTTAGAGGGAGCATTGGCTACATGCTGAAACTATCTTACGGTCAGGGTTCCCTCTAAGCTGAGTTAGCGTGAGCTAGCTCACAATTTTTTAGCCTCTGGCTCACAGATTTTTGTCTTCGCTCAGGAAGGATGGGGCTCCAGAGCAAACTAATTTATGCAGTCGCCGAATCGCTCGCTCACAGCTTTAATGCCGGCAGCTCACAAAGTAGAATTTTTGCTCACAAGACTCCAGTGAGCAGCGGGAACATTGCTTATGGTGGGGGTTTTTTTTGGGGGGGGGAATCAGTTTAAAGAAGCTTGTTTTTAGTCTTCATAAGCGGAAAGGTATGTTTGAAAAGGTGTGGACTGATCCCTCCTGAAATCTCAGAAACCAGAGCAGTGGCTGATCTTCCACCATCACAAATCCAGCGGTTTGAGGTAGCAGGGATGGGACTTCATTGCCCAGTACATTTCTCCATCCTTCCCCATGAATCACAGAGTCAGAATAAACTATGCAAATCAGCAGGGCTATTTTGGGGCAGGAACGCAGAGGAACGGAGTTCCGGCTGGCTCCCAAGTTGGCCACGCCCAGCAGGAACTCATTAGCATAATAGGCCACACCCAACAGCAGGAACTCATTAGGATTGGCTACATTAGGGGTGTGTGGCCTAACATGCAAAGGAGTTCCTGCTACAAAAAAAGGCCTTGGGTTTTGACAACAAACAAGGTAAACAGAATAACAAGCAAAAGGTGGGTGTGGCTGGATAACCACACTTCTGGTAACATGGGGGTGCAGCCTAATATGCTAATGAGCTGTGCTGTCAGGGGTGTGGTCCAATATGCTAATGAGTTCCTGCTGTTGGGTGTGGCTTATTATGCTAATGAGTTCCTGCTGGGCTTTTTCTACAAAAAGAGCCCTGCGAAATCAGCAAACGTGGCGGAATGTCTTATGCAAAAGAAACCCAGTCGCCCATATGCCTAAGTCATTTCTATTGGTCGCAGGATTCACAGTTCCTTTTCTCAGAATTCCGATGGTTCGGATGCAGAATTTTTTAGTGTGAAGCACGTGCAGCCTACATGACATCGCTGTAGGCCCCTCCCACTAAAATAATAACGTCTGTCACACATTCCTACTTCTGTACCAGGAGGGCCGTGGCTGAGTGGTAGAGCAGGTTCAATCCCCAGCATCTCCAGTTAGGGGATCTGGCAGTAGGTGATGTGGAAAACCTCCGCCTGAAACCCTGGAGAGCTGCTGCCGGTCTGCGTAGACCATACTGACTTTGACGGACCAAGAGTCTGATTCCGTATAAGGTGGCTTCATGTGTTCACAGTGCTGATAGACAGAGGGAATAGGCTCACCTTGGCACTTTGGCTGTACTTTGAATGTGGGGACCCAGGAACATGACCTTGGGGAATCCTACCTCTGGCGGTGCTGCATGTCCATCCCCTCGGCCCCAGCTCCTGCTCATTTTGGGCCGCTGACATCATCTTTACGCTCTTCTGAGAACAGCTTACCGGTGGTCCCGCAAAGCTCCCTCTAAGCTGTGGAGTCTGGTGAGCAAAAATTCTACTTGGTGAGCTCCTGGCACGAAAGTCGTGAGCCGGCGATTTGGCTGCTGCATGAATTAAGTCTGCTCTGGAGCCCTCCTTCCTGGGCTGAGGCAAAAAATGTGTGAGCCGGAGGCTAAAAAGCTGCGAGCTGGCTCACGCTCGCTCAGCTTAGAGGGAACACTAGCCCCCAGAGGCATCCGGCTGTCCTCAACCAGAGCGAGAGGTCTTCTTCAGCCCTGGCTCCGACCTGGGGGAACTCTCTGTAGTTTCGCAGTGCGTGCGAGGCAGAAGTTCCGCCAGGCTTTTGGTCGAGGACAGTGACGGGCAGTGTTCCCTCTGGGCTGAGTTAGTGTGACTCCACTTGTTTCGAGACAGTGATGCAGTCTGTAAATTTGTTTTTGACGCCATCTAATGTTGTTTATAGCTATTGGGATCTTTTTGTAGCAGGAACTCCTTTGCATATTAGGCCACACCCCCTAATGTAGCCAATCCTCCAAGAGCTTACAGAGCTCTTCTTACAGGAGCTACTGTAAGCTCTTGGAGGATTGGCTACATTAGGGGTGTGTCGCTTAATATGCAAATGAGTACCTGCTACAAAAAGAGCCCAAATCGTATAATACTGTTGACCACCCTGAGCTCTGTGAATTCAGAGAAGAGCAAATAAATGGATTCAGAGAAGAGCAAATTCAGAGAAGAGCAAATAAATAAATAAATAAATAAATGGAAACTATCAATCAGTAATCAATAAATCTCTTCCCCTTACAGGAGGCTCCACCCCAATTCCTATACCCGAGCCCCCCACACCTGTGCCGGGCTGGGGCATCGCACTCCTCGTCTTGGTCTGCATCCTTCTGCTACTAGCCATTATTGCCTACCTCATAGTGGTGAGTATCTCCTCTTTCCTCTCTTTCCAAAACATTTATACCTCCTCCTTCGTCCCAGTCACGTGCCTGGCTGTCTCTGCCCCACTGTTTCCTCACAACAACCCTACGAGGTAGGTTAGACTAAGAGCCAGTTTGGTGTAGTGGTTAGGAGTGCGGACTCTACTCTGGAAGAACCAGGTTTGATCCTCCACTCCTCCACATGCAGCTGCTGGTGTGACCTTGGGTCAGTCACAAGTTCTCTCAGAGCTGTTCTCTCAAGGGCAGTTTCTGTGAGAGCTCTCTCAGCCCCGCCTACCTCATAGGGTGCCTGTTGTGGGGAGGGGAAGGGAAAGGAGTTTGTAAGCCCCTCTGAGACTCCGAGTGAAGGGTGTGGTATAAATCCAATCTCCTCCTCCTCCTCCTCCTCCTCCTCCTCCTCTTCTTCTTCTTCTTCTTCTTCTTCTTCTTCTTCTTCTTCTTCTTCTTCTTCTTCTTCGCATGTGACCAGCCCAAGATCATCCAGCGACATTCATGGCAAAAAAGAGGGTTGGGCCTTTTACACATGGCCACACTCTCTTGCAGGAGTCCTGGTGTTGCTGTGGGTGCCAATTGCAGGCTTCCCTCTATCTCCATAGCACTTCCCCCCCCAACCCAACATGAGCCAAGGTTCATGTGAGCAAGGCCTTTGAGCGTTTTCATGAACATCCCTGAATGCTCACCATTCTCACTACTATTCAAGGTAGCGAGCATGTGATCATATCATATGGTTTGCTCCTTACACTATGAACCCTGTGGTCTGTTGAAATTGTTGAAATCAGGTTCCACCTACACAGCCCGCAAACTGAAGAATTCGAAGGAAACGCATCTTTTAAGTATCTAGAACCAGGCGCCTTTGCAAAGGCTGTTTGGAAAATGTTATGACTATGTGGACTCCTCCTAATAAAGTTACTGATTACATGGACTTTACGTCTTATCTTCTAAGGAGGAAACATTGTATCTTATGCCTTATCAGAGTTATAGTATGCACTCAATTTTGTTGTGGTGACACCACCAACTTTATATTCGTTAAATACAGTTTATATTTTGGCAATTTCTGGTGGTGTTTTTCTACTAGTGGAATTTGCATATCTGGGACCAGGAAATGATGGCAGCATGATGAGGGACACTCTGGTATTGGGGCAAAACGTCACTGGTGAGGGACCCCACCACCTGGTAAATCTCCACCCCCACTAGTTGCTGGGAGGACCAGGGAACCCTAGATGGGGGTGGTCCCCTGGGAGGAGAGGCTTTGGGAAGGGGGGGGTGCCTCAGCGCAGTATAATGCCATAGAATCCGCCCTCCATAGCCGCCATTTTGTCCAGGGGAACTGGTCTCTGTCATCTGGAGATCAGTTGTAATTCCAGGAGATCTCCAGGCCCCACCTGGAGGCTGGCAACCCTACATCTACAGTCCTAGTCAGCAACCAGAATCGACAGCAGGATACCGGGCCTGTACATCAACCTTTCATTCCCATCCACCTAAAATAGTCTGCTGGTCGTTTACTACAGACTATACTTGGCCAACCTATCTTTTGTCCTCAGGTTGGCAACTGGGAGGGGGGAGGAGCTGGCCAGCGGGTAGCAGCAGACCCTACCCTTTTAAGAATTCTCCTCCTTGCCTCGCCTAGGGCTGCCAGCCTCCAGGTGGGGCCTGGGGATCTCTCGCTTTTACCCAGGGGTCATTTCTTAGAAAAAGAGCTAGGGGAACTCATTAGCATAACTCATTAGCATATGCCACACCCCCTGACATCTCCGGAAGCGTGTCATAAGGCCACACCCCCTGACATCACCGGAAGTGTGTCATAAGGCCACACACCCCACCCCCAACGGTCCAGGCTGCCGCCGGCGGCCTTGCAGCTCTACTGCCGAGCCCCATGAGAGGCCCGGCGGTGGACCTGCAAGGCCGGCGGGAGTGCAAGGAAGCCCCGCGAAGGCCCTCCCTGGCCCCAAGCAGGCAGGGGTGGGGAGAGGCAGGGAGGAAGCAACTTACCCTCCCTCTTCTCCTGCCTCCTCCTGGCTAAATGAGGGCCGGAAGCGGGGCAGCCGGAAGCAGGGGGCGGGGCTTCGTCATGTGCCCCGCGCCCCCGTACTCACCTGGGGGAACTGTGTTCCCCCGCATTCCCCCCCGAAATGACCTCTGCTTTTACCACTGATCTCCAGCTAGAGATCAGCTCCCCTGGAGAAAATGGTTGCTTTGAAGGGTGGTGAGGCCCCTCCCCTCCCCAAACCCCGCCCTCTCCCGGATCCACCCCCAAAGTCTCCAGGTATTTCCCAACCCAGACCTGGCAACCGATGCTCCCTCTAAGCTGTGGAGTCTTGTGAGCAAAAATTCTGCTCTGTGAGCTACCGGCATTGAAGTTGTGAGCGAGCGATTGGGCTGCTGCATAAATTAGTTTGCTCTGGAGCCCTCCTTCCTGAGCGGAGACAAAAATGTGTGAGCCGGAGGCTAAAAACCTGTGAGCCTCGCTCACACTCACTCAGCTTAGAGGGAACGTGGCAACCCTAGCCTTGCCTCTCCAGGCCCCAAACAACCTTGACGTTCCTTTCGCATTTCTTCAATCCCTCCCAGATCATCTACCGTTGCCGACGAAGCCACCGCGGCCACCTTGATATGCTCAACAGCCAGGACTCCTACCATCCCATGAGCGAGTATCCGACGTACCACACGCATGGGAGATACGCTGCGCCGTTCACCAAACCGAATCCTTACGACGTAAGTTAAATCCCTATGTAGCCTGGGACCGCTCCCTGCAGGACAGGGTGAAATGAAAACCTTTCATGCCAAACGGCTTTGAATTAATGGGGAGGGTGGATGGTAAACCCAGGGGCCATTTCCTGCAGGAGCGCACAGGAGCGGAGCTCCGGCAGTAAAGAGCCCAGGGGGCGGGCACATGCAACAAGCCCCACCCCCTGCTCCCAGCAGCCCTCAGACAGAGCAAGAAGCAGCCAGGTAAGCTACAGAGCCCCCCCCCCCAGCCCCCCAGCCCAAAACAGTCCAGTGGCACCTTTAAGACCAAGTTTTATTCAGGTACAAGCTCCCCCTCCTCTGCGAGGACAGATCTGCACGTTCCCTCCCCCCAATAGCTAGCAATCCAAAACAGTCCAGTGGCACCTTTAAGACGAAGTTTTATTCAGGTACAAGCTCTCCCTCCTCTGTGAGGACAGATCTGCACATTCCCCCCCCCCCAATAGCTAGCAATCCAAAACAGTCCAGTGGAGCCTGAGCGGTGGGTGTTGCCTTCTGACACACTTCCGGTGATGTCAGGGGGTGTGGCATATGCTAATAAGTTATGCTAATGAGTTATGCTAATGAGCGCCTGCAGCTCTTTTTCTACGAAATGACCCCTGGGTAAACCCATGCTCTTGAAACCAAGGCAGGCCACCCGGACGTCTAGCCTAGGGTTGCCAGCTCCGGATTGGGGAAAGCTGGAGATTTAGGGGGTGGAGTCTGAGGAGGGCGGGGTTTGGGGAGGGGGACTTCAACGGGGCATAATACCATAGATTCCACCTTCCGAAGCAGCCATTTTCTCCAGGGGAACTGATCTCTGCTTCCTGGAGATCAGTTGTCGTAGCAGGAGACCTCCAGACAACACCCTGTGGCTGAACTTCGTAGGAAAACAACCATGATACGATAACAAAGTCGTGTTTAGGGGAAAATATATCGTCTTTAATTATCCAGTGAGTAAGAAACCATTCGTCTAGACCAGTATTGTCTACTGTGACTGGTAATGCCTACGCTGGAGTCTCAGGCAGGCAGGGTTCCTTCCCAACATCTAGAGTCCAGGATGCCTGGAACGGAACATGGAAAGTTCTGCATGGAAAAGGCCAGGTGCTCTGGCTGCCAACTCTAGGTTGAGCCATTCCTGGAGATTTGGGAGTGGGACCTGGGGAAGGCAGGGTTTGGGTAGGGGACAAGAGGGACTTCAGCAGGGTATAATACCACGGTCTGCAGCCTCCAATGCAGCCTTTTTTTCTCCGAAAATTCCTGATAAGGGGACAGGGGAAATAGAGTTGCCAGCCTATTGGGGAATTGGGGGATTCCTGGAGATTTGGGGGGGGGGGGTAAATCCTGGCGAGGTCACGGTTTGGGGAGTGGAGGCAGTGTTCCCTCTAAGCTGAGTTTAGTGTGAGATAGCTCACCATTTTTTAGCCTCCGGCTCACAGATTTTTGTCTCCGCTCAGGAAGGACGGCTCCAGAGCGAACTAATGGATGCAGCAGCCAAATTGCTTGCTCACAACTTCAATGCCAGTAGCTCACAAAGTAGAATTTTTGTTCACAAGACTCCACAGCTTAGGGGGAGCATTGGAGGGGGGATACCTCAGGGGGATAGAATGCCATAGAGTCCACCTTCCAAAGACGCCATTTTCTCCATTGGGATCTCTGTTTTCTGGAGATCATTTGTAAGTTCCGGGAGATCTCCAGGCCCCACCTGGAGGCTGGCGACCCTAAACAACCCTACACTAAACTACATTTTGAGGGTAAGAGATTTTCCTGGACCTAAGTTAGGGATGCCAGCTTCCAGGTGGAGCCTGGAGATCTCCCAGTATTACTGCTCATCTCCAGACTACAGAGATCAGTTCCCCCTGGAGGAAGTGGCAGCTTTGGAGGGTGGGTTTTATGGCATTGTAGAAGGAGGAGGAGGGGGTGGGGATTGGATTTATACCCCGCCCTTCACTTGGAGTCTCAGAGTGGCTTACAAACTCCTTTCCCTTCCCCTCCCCACGACAGACACCCTGTGAGGTAGGTGGGGCTGAGAGAGCTCTGACAGAACAGCTCTTATCAGAACTATGGCTTGCCCAAGGTCATCCAGCAGCTGCAGGTGGAGGAGTGGGGAATCAAACCCGGTTCTCCCAGATTAGAGTCCGCGCACTTAAACACTACACCAAACTGGCTCTCTTTATCCCACTGAGTTCCCTCGTAGGGTTGCCAGGGCCCCCCTCCCCGTCCACTGGGGGGGGATGGGGGAGTAGGGTTGCCAGCTCCAGACTGGGAAACTCTTGGAGCTGTGGGGATGGAACCTGGGGGGGGGGGGTTTACAGGGACCTCAGAGGGTATAATGCCATAGAGTCCACCCTCCAAAACATCCATTTTCTGCAGGGAAACTGATCTCTGGAGATGAACTGTAATTCCAGGGGACCCCCAGGTCCCACCTGGAGGCTGGCATCCCTGGCTCCCTGTCCTCACCAGGCTCCACTCCGAAACTCCCAAATCTCCAGGAGTTTTCCAACCTGGAGCTGGCAACCCTCTGGGACCTTCAATCGTTCCGCAGGGCCTGCAAAACAGAGCTGTTCCGCGGCCGGCATCTATTCCTACTTGGGCTCCCTCCTCTGGTTCCCAATCTGCTCAAAGGGCCCATCTGATTCCACCTGTGGCCCTAGCAGATATGAGATTCTTGCTGCCCGTATGCATTTTTATTGTTTAACCTGATGTCAGTGTGATTTTTATTGTAACACGTCTCGGGCTCATTTTCGTGTGATCCGCCCTGAGCCCGCTTTGGGGAGGGCGGAATAAAAATCTCAGAAGTCATATAAATAAGAAAATTAAATAAATTAAAACCCTGTGGGGCCTCCCCGTCGCCCGCTGGTGGACAGGGGGGACCTAACTAAGTCCCTGCCAGCCAAGCTGCTTTCCCGGGCAGCAGAAAGCACAAAGCTGCAGTCTCTGACGTCCCCATCCCCCACCCCCCCATGTGCCGATAGTTTCATTAGGCCCACACGGCCTGTGCCCTTGACCTCGCCAGTTCCTTCCCCACCACAGAGTTAATCTGTAACCAGGAGTGAAAACTGCCGCTAAGACCAGCTGCCTCTTTCTGGTTTGAGTAGGGTTGCCAAGTCCGGGTTGGAAAATACCCGGAGACTTTGGGAGTCGATCCGGGAGAGGGCAGGGTATGGGGAGGGGAGGGGGCCTCAGCAGGGTACAAGGCCACAGAGTCCACCCAGGGCTCTTTTTGTAGCAGGAACTCCTTTGCATATTAGGCGACACACCCCTAATGTAGCCAATCCTCCAAGAGCTTACAGTAGCCCCTGTAAGAAGAGCTCTGTAAGCTCTTGGAGGATTGGCTACATTAGGGGTGTGTCGCCTAATATGCAAAGGAGTTCCTGCTACAAAAAGAGCCCTGCGAGACTAATACAAAAACTGAGGGTCACAGTGTTAGGAAGACATACAAAAATATATATCACTGTGTACAATAAGGATATGTTTATAGTAAAACAACTTTACGCTTTATTCTTTTTCTATCTTTTTCAATACCGTTGTCAAAATACTGCTATCAAATATTATAAAAAATGTATTCCACCCAAGCAATACAAAGAGAAAAATATGTTTCACCCAAACAATACATCGGGAGCAGGTTTACATTCAGATAGCACCTTGTCAGTAATTGTCAGTAACACTATCACTAGTCCCACGGGACTCTAGTAATTTACTGGTTTGGAATGAATCTTTTTCAAGGACCGTGATGTTTATATAAAGGAGATAAGGCGCAATAACTTTTCTTTGTGAGCACAAAAGCTCTTAAGATATCAGCATTGTCTAGGGTCCCATTCATTCGAAACGGGTAAATTACTAGAGTCCCGTGGAAATAGTGATAGTGTTATTGACAATTACTGACAAGGTGCTATCTGAATGTAAACCTGCACTCGATGTATTGTTTGGGTGAAACATATTTTTCTCTATGTATTGTTTGGGTGGTAGGGTTGCCAAGGCTATCTTCGCCGGGAGCGGGGGGCTCCCGGCCGGTGTCTTATGCGCGCGCACATCGCACGCACGTCACCCGGAAGTGACGGGAGGACGCCAGGCATGCTGGGGGCCGGACCACAGCCATACAAGGGAAAACCATAGAGTTTTCCCTTGTATGGCCATGGTCCCGCCCCCAGCGTGCCCGGCGTGCCCGTGTCACTTCCGGGTGATGCGCACATCGGGGTGGAGTTCCCCCCAGGGCCCGATCCGGCGGCGCCGGGGAACGGGCCTCTGGGGCGGGGTTTTTCCCGCCCCCCGGGGGGACTTAGGATCCCTATTGGGTGGAATATCATCACAGGGAGTTATCATCACAGCCCAGAAGATTATTGGCTGTCCTCTCCCACTCATGGAGGAATTGTATAGTTCTCGATGCTTGAAAAAAGCAAAGAACATTTTGCAGGATTTGTCACACCCTGAACACTCCCTGTTTGAACTGCTGCCTTCGGGTAGAAGATATAGGACAATCAAAACAAGGACAAACAGATTAAAAAACAGTTTTTATTCGAGAGCTATTATTGCTTTAAATGCTGTATGAATTGGAATTTGGGTGACATTGGTGGTTAAGTTGCAATGTGAACCCTAATGGTTGTGTGAGTGTATATGAGTATGGTTGTGTGAGTGTATATGAGTATGGTTGTGTGAGTGTATATGAGTATGCTTGTAGATCACCGAATGATTGCACCTTAATTTCGTTGTACTATGTACAATGACAATAAAGTATATTATTATTATTATTATTATTAATAATAATAATAATAATAATATATTTTTGATAATAGTTGATAGCAATATTTAGAGAACAACATTGAAAAAATATAAAAAAAATAAAGCATAAAATTGGTTTGCCATAAACATACATTTATTGTACACAGTGATATATATTTTTGTATGTCCACCTGGAGGCTGGCAGCCCTAGGTTTGGGGGCCATGTCAGTTTGGGCCCTCTGCCCCCGCCCAAGCTCTTAAAATGCTGGTTTCCCCTCCCCATTATACTTCATGGCAAAGGAATGGGTCCTCCCAGGTCTCCGAGCTGACACGGGGTCAGGGTTACAGTTATGGCTGACCAGGCCGGTTGCCTAGGCAACCTGGGGCCCAGCCCTGCTTGAGGCCTGTTCTATATTTGTGTGTGTTTGTGTTGTGGGGAGGGGAGGGGGGGGTCTCATTCCATGCTGGGCTCACAGCAGGGCGAGGCCCCGTAAATGTCACGTAGGCGCTCTGGCCTCATCCCTCCCATTGGGGACGCGTTACTGCTGAGCAAACACCACGGCCCCTTGAGCAAATAGACATCTTCTCAACCACCTGTGGGATTCAGAAATCTGGGGGAAAGGAGAAAGGAAGGGGGCTTCGGACTGGCATCGCGAACCCCTGCTTTGCGGCATCCTTTCCTCTTCTTGCCAAAGAAGTCCTTGCGTCCCTGCAGCAGACCGGGGGTTCCCCGTTTGGGGGTCGAACTCGTTTGCCCTTCGTGGGGGCCGCTTTCTGGCCGCTCCCTCCCTCATGACCAGGCAGTGTTTACACATGACATTGAACAGCTTGTGATCTGGCTGGCAAGCGCCCAGGCGTCTGCAGAGAGCAGCTGGCTGTTCCTAGCATTTCACCCACGAGATCTGGGCGCTCCGCGGGTGAGCTGTGCAACCAGCGCCGTCGGGTTAGCTGGTGCAAAATCCAGAATGCTGTGATTGTCTGCTCTCTCTCTCTCTCTCTCTCTCTTTAGTGTCTCCTCTCGCTCTCTCTCTCTCTCTCTCTCTCTCTCTCTCTCTCATCTTTGCCTTGAGGGAAAACACAAAAAAGGAAAGAAACAAGTTTCTAGCCCTCATTGTTGCAAGTGGGAATTTGGAAACCCTGCCAGTCCTTTGTGACTCTCCATCTACTTACTTTTAGTTAATTCATCCATTCATATTTATAGCCTGCTTAGAGCGGGTAACAACATTTTGGCAGTACAATAAATAGCTAAAATATTAAAACACCGTCCCATGCATTAAAATGGTGGTCACAACCCGAGAGCAGAAAATTATCAGTTGCGAGAGGTTCCCTGGCCCGCTGGTGACTTATAATGGCCAACAGTTGTTAGATGGGTGACAAGCAGGGGCCGTTTCCTGCAGGAGCGCACAGGAGCGGAGCTCCGGCAGTAAAGAGCCCAAGGGACGGGGACATGCAACAAGCCCCGCCCCCTGCTCCCAGCAGCCCCGGGCCACGAGGATCTGCGCGTCCCTCCCATAGCTAGCAATCCAAAACAGTCCAGTGGAGCCTGAGCAGTGGGTATTGCCTTCTGACACACTTCCGGTGATGTCAGGGGGTGTGGCATATGCAAATAAGATGTGCTAATGAGTGATGCTAATGAGCTCCTGCACCTCTTTTTCTGTGAAATGACCCCTGGTGACAAGGACCTCAGGGAGGCCATACATGGACGTCTGCTGCCTCAGCCAAAGGTCTGACAAAACAGCTCCAACTTACAGGCCCTGTGGAATTGAAGAAGATACCGCAGGGCCCTGAGCTCAATGGGGAGCATGTTCCTCCAGGCAGGGGCCCATGCAGAAAAAGCCCTGGCCCTGGTTGAGGCAAGACAGGCGTCTTTCGCATCAGGGACTACCAGGAGATGCTAATCCATGGAGTGTAACGCTCTTTGGGGCGTATACGGGAAGCGGCGGTCCCTTGGTATATTGGTCCCAGGCCATGTAAGGCTTTAAATGTTATTACCGACACCTTGAAGCAGATCCAAAACTCAGTGCAATTGGCGGAGCACCTGCTGAACGTTAGCCCACACAGGCGTCCAGTGGTGCCTTGACACCAACAGGGTGTACGCTTTCCAGAATCAAAGCTCACTTGGGATCCTTCTCTTAAAAGCTTATACCCTGGAAATCTTGTCGGAGCTACCTTTCCCCCCACACACACACACACATTTTGCCAAATTCCAGATTGGGAAATTCCTGGAGATTTTGCAGGTGGAGCCCAGGGAAGGTAGAGAAAGAGGTACTTTTCTCCCTTTCTCACAATACAAGAACTCGTGGGCACTCCATGAAATTGCTGAGCGGTCGGGTTAGAACGGATAAAAGGAAGTACTTCTTCACCCAAAGAGTGATTAACACATGGAATTCACTGCCACAGGAAGTGGTGGCGGCTACAAGCATGGACGGCTTCAAAAGGGAATTACGTAGATAAGCATATGGAGCAGAGGTCCATCAGTGGCTATTAGCCACAAGGTATAGATAGGGACTCTGGGGCAAGTGATGCTCTGTCTTCTTGGTGCTTGGGGGGGCCAACAGTGGGAGGGCTTCTAATGTCCTGGCCCCACTGGTGGACCTCGTGATGGCACCTGGTATTTCTGGCCACTGTGTGATACAGAGTGTTGGACTGGATGGGCCTTTGGCCTGATCCAACATTGGCATCTCTTATGTTCTTATGTTCTTAGGGCATGGTTTGGGGAGAGGATACTTCAGTAGGGCGCAGTGCCATAGAGTCCACCATCCCTAGCAGCCATTTTTGCCAGGGGAACTGATCTCTGCAGTCCGGAGATCAGTTGTGATTCTGGCAGACCTCCGAGCTGAACCTGGGAGTTGGCACATTTAACCAGAGGCAATCCTTAGTGAGCCATCTTTTGCCCCCACACTATTTACCAGATTCCAGATTGGGAAATTCCTAGAGATTTGGGGGATGGGCTGGGGGTTTAAAGAAGGGAGGGACCTCAGCAGAATACAATGCCATGGAGTCCACACTCCAAAGCAGCCATTTTCTCCAGGGAAACTGGTCTCGGTCCTCTGGAGACCAAGAGCAAGAGATCTCCGGGTGCCTCCAAATTCCAGTTTCCCAGTAGACAGCCCCCACCCAACCGCCTTCTCTCCCCAGGAGGAAAACAAAGAGAAATAGACACAACAGCTGCCGCCTGGGAAGACACACAGTCCTGCTTTTAATGACCAAGCAGCTTCCTTGGGAACAAGAGGCATAAAACTCCTTTACAGTGCCGGCACGCCCTGTAAAAAAATGCTGAAAACAGTTAACGTCTTAAAGTTGAGCTTCCCCTATCCCCTAGAAGGGACCTCTGCTTTTGAGGTTCACCCTACCACAAGTCAACAGGGTTCTCAGGATGCTTGTAGGCAGTGCCTGGGGTTGCCAACTCTGGGTTGGGAAATTCCTGGAGATTTGGGGGGCAGAGTCTGTGGAGGGACCTCAGTGGGTTATAATTAAGGTTACCAACTCCAGGTTGGGAAATACCTGGAGATCGGGGGAGGGGTACCTGTGGAAGACAGAGTTTGGACCTTGGCTGGGTGGTAAAGTGGCTTTTAAATCTCTGGCCAGATGATGATATACCTAATACTAGAAAACAATTGATCAACATATTGATAACAGCTGCCAAGGTTACTATAGCCAAATGCTGGAAAGACAATCATTCTCCTGGCATAGAATTTTGGTTTCACAAGAAATGGGACTTTTTCATGCTTGAAACGATATCTATATATAACTCAAATGACCAGAATGAATGCGAAATATATAATCCCTTAGGAAAATGGTTCCCCGTGATAGAAAATATAACCTTTGATCACTTTAATTGAGAAAGCATCAATAAAGCTAGATATAAACTAATGATTTACAGTTGACAAGTTATACGTTTATCACTCTGTATTCTGTATTCCGAAAGAATGTAAGCTGTTATGAGATAGAAATCTTATAGCATTCTTTTTTTCCCCCTTCTCTAAGTGAAGCAACCTATATTTGTGTATTATAATGTTGAATTCTGTATTCGTTTTGAAAAAGAATAAAAATTGTATGGGGGAGAAAATACGGTCTGCAGTCACGCACACTAAAGAATCCACTTTCGATGCACTTTCAGTGCACCTTCCAACTGGATCCTGCCAGTTCACACAGTAAGAATCCAGTTGGGAAGTGCACTGAAAGTGGATTGAAAGTGGATTCTTTAGTGTGTGTGACCGCAGCCTAAGTGGGTTGGGAAATTCCTGGAGATTTGGAGGGTGGATTCTTGGGGAGAGCAGGGTTTGGGGAGGGGAGAGACCTCAGTGGGGTACAGTGCCATAGAGTCCATCCTCCAAAGCAGCTATTTTCTACAGGAGAACTGATCTCTGTTGTCTGGAGATCAAGATGGGTAGCTCAGCTGTGTTAGTCTGTTTGTCATAGTAAAAAAGAGCAAGAGTCCACAGCGCCTTTAAAACTAATACAATTTGTGGCAGGAGAGGAGCTTTCGTGAGTCACTACTCACTTCTTCAGATACAGCTAGAATGTGAGTCCATCTGTCCTGTATCTTGGAAAGTGGAGTGATTTCAGAGGCCGAACGACATTAGCAGGCCAATGACAATAGCAGGTGTGACTGGATGAGGTGTGATATGCAGTGGGGGGGGGAGGAGAAATCAGCACTGGTAATGAGACAGGAAACCTAGGTCTTGATTCAGTCCTGGTGGATGCATTGTCTTGAGCTTCATTATCAGTTGCAATCCAGTAGCTGTAATTCCAGGAGATCTCCAGGCCCCACTTGGAAGTTCCCAACCCTAGGTATAATGCCATACAGCTCACCCTCCAAAGCAGCCATTTTCTCCAGGAGAACTGATAGCCACACTCCCCATCTTGAAGCCATGAACATATATTTATTGTACCATAAGCATATATTTATTGTACACAGTGATATATATTTTTGTTTATCTTCTGGGCATGGAGCAGGGGTCACTGGGTGGGGAGGTAGTTGTGAATTTCCAATAACGTGCAGGTGGTTGGACTAGATGACCCTGGTGTTCCCTTCCAACTCTATGATTCTGTTATTCTAAGTCTTGCCCTAACTATTTGTATCTCCTCTGTTATTCTACAGAAACAACCTACCAATGGCACCAGCCCTTTCTCCTACACCAACCCTGCAATGGCCAATGACAACCTTTAGGGGGTGCACTTTCAACAGTTGGACTCTGGGGGGATTGGGGGTGACGAACTGAACCTGGCTGGGCTAGGCTGATCCAATGGGAAAGCACTGATGGGGGAATTGCTGCGCTCCAATGAGAAAAGACCTGTCTTTAAAACGGCTGCATCCAGGCTTCAAAACGGCCGCTCGCCTAGAGCGAGTAAAGAATGGCCTCCAGGTGAGCAAACACCGAAGTTGTTCTCAGTGGGAAGAACTGGTTTCTTTCTTTGTGCGCTATCGATGCCTCGCCAGCGATTCACATTTGTACGTCGAGGTCAGCCAAGCTAATCAAAAGTTATGAGGACTAGTAACTTTGGGGAGGCTGGCTTTGTTGCTTGGACGTGACTGGAGAGTGGGATTCACTGATGATTACCTCACTGGCTTCTAAAAGGTCGAAAAGGAAATTTGCAGCACAGAATGATTGAACCAGGAAGAAGCAAAAGAGAGAGACATAACGTTGGAGTGACTTCCCTGGATGAGGAAGTTCTAATATTTAAGAGTCTGGAACAGTTCCCCCCATCACTGCCACAAACACAAGCATGGACTTTTCCCTGCCACTCATCACTGCCACGAACACAAACATGGACTTTCCCCGTGAACACTGGTTACAGCCGATATTTTCTATCAACAATGCTTATTAATGTTAAACATAAAATATAAAATGTACATATTATGTGACTTAAGGAGACATGCCCCCTTCAAGACGGCAATGCTCAAATCCTTTTCTCTTCACAACAGCCTCACTGTGCACAGGAACGTTCTTAGTCCACAGACCTGATCCTCTAGGAGAGTGCCCTGTGGCTTAAATTCTTCCCGAGCGTCAGGATCATAGAGTTGCGGAGATCAGAGGGGCCTCCGGGAACATCAGCTGCAAGCTCAATACAGCAAACCCAGAGTTCGAGCATCGCCAGCAGATGGCTCTTCTCCCCCCCCCCCCCCCCCCCCTTTCCACACCTGCAACAAGGAAGCTCCTTCTAGACCAGTGATGGCGAACCTTTTAGAGACCGAGTGCCCAAACTGAGACCCAAAGCCCACTTATTTATCGCAAAGTCCCAACACGGCAATTTAACCTGAATACTGAGGTTTTACTTTAGAAAAAACAACTCATACATTAACTCAAGATGATCCAAACAAAGTAAGGAAAGCAATCCCAAATGCTTTCATTTACTTAAAATTATTTGGCAGAGAATTCGACACTTTAATGATGGTCTGGGCCTGGCTGGGGCGATGGCACGCGTGCCCAGAGAGAGGGCTCTGAGTGCCACCTCTGGCACCCGTGCCATAGGTTCGCCACCACTGTTCTAGACCAAAAAAAGGTGCCTGTTGCCTGCCCCCACACGAAGCAGAAGTTCTGGAAGAGTCCAAGTCGGACGCATGAAGGAACCGAATGATCATTAAAACAATCCAATGTACGAGGAAGTGGAATGGAGGCAAATACTTCCCTCTTTGCAAACTAGCCCCGGCCCTGTTTACCTACGTCCAAAACTTCCAAGGCAGATGGTGTCAATTAAAGCAGCGCTTTACTGGCCCACCAATGAAGTGAAGTAGGCATTTATTATTCCTTGCCCATATAAGGGGATAGTTGCTGTTCATGTTCCAGTCATAAGGGGGCAGAAGTGAGCTTGTTTGGTTTGGGCGGGAGGGGTGGGCCTAGTCAATGGAGGGTTCCACTCTGGTGATGTGGGTGATGACGTGTGGCCTTGTTGCAGTATAAAAGCCTGGAGCCTGCGTTGCTCTGGGTTCAGTCTGTTTAAAGCGTGCTTCGCTGACTGAACCGGCGCCAATAAAGTTCTTCTCCTTCTGTTGATCTGGTGGTCTGTGCTTGGGCTTAGGCCCCTTTCTCCGTGCTACAGAAGCAGCTGAGATCTGGACTCCTGTCTGGGCCAGGCTCCTCCCATACCTCTCTCTGACTCCACCCGCAGCTCAGGCTCCCAGCCCCAAGTGGCCAGCTTTGGAACCGGGCCCCTTTCACTGTCCCTTTAATATCAGCGTGAGCTGCAGCCAAGACCAGGCAATGCCCTTTACCTCCATCCCCTAAGAATTTCAGCTGCTCATTCCCACACTTTTTGTTAATAACCCAGGCTATACTATAAACCCAAAGATTGCTGCAAGTGTGCACAAACAATAAATGAATTTACACAAAAGTAAGTCAATCTTCACTGAAGATGATATTCATGATGTGTCTTTTATAGTCGATGAACAGGTGGACAGAAGACAGACGAACTTCTCGAGTAAATGCCCGTTTCGAAGTGTCTTTCTCAATAATTTCGCATCCAAATATACTGAAGATGACGATGAAGTCTTTAAATCAAACTGTTTTTTCCATGAGCTATGCAGCAACATACAAAACTCTCCAATGGACTAATAAGATTGACTTACTTTTGTGTAAATTCATCTATTGTTTGTGCACACTTGCAGCAATCTTTGGGTTTATAGTACAGTTTTGTATTGCTGTTCCCCTAGGTATTTGTAATAACCCAGGCTAGCCAGATCTTGCCTCAACCTGGATAGCCCAGGTGAGCCAATCTCATCGGATTTCAGAAGCTAAGCAGGGCCGGCCTTGGTTAGCCCTTGGGTGGGAGACCACCAAGGAAGTCCGGGGTCTCTACAGAGAGGCAAGCGAGGGCAAACTACCTCTGTTCAGTTCCTGCCTTGAAAACCCTATGGGTTGCCATCCATGTTCCCTCTAAGCTGAGTTAGTGTGAGCTACCTCACAGTTTTTTAGCCTCCAGCTCCCACCTTTTTGTCTTAGCTCCGGAAGGATAGATCCAGAGGAAACTAATTGATGCAGTAGCCAAATTGCTTGCTCACCACTTTAATGCCAGTAGCTCACAAAGTAGAATTTTTGCTCACAAGACTCCACAGCTTAGAGGGCACATTGGTTGCCATATTTCAGCTGTGACTTGTCGGTTTTGTCCTATCCGGGATGTCCCAGGCTGGCCTGATTTCAACAGAAGCTAAGGAGGGTCGGATCTGGTTAGTATTCGTACGGGAGGCTACCAAGGAGCCCCGGGGTCATTATGCAGAGGGAGGCAACAGGCAAATCACTGTCTGTTGCCTTGAAAACCCTACGGGGTCGCCACAAGTATGTGATTTGATGGCACTTTGGCCCCACGCAGGGGTCGTTTCGTAGAAAAAGAGCTAGGGGAACTCATTAGCATAACTCATTAGCCTATGCCACACCCCTGACATCACCGGAAGTGTGTCATAAGGCCACACCCCCTGACATCACCGGAAGTGTGGCATAAGGCCACACAACCCGCCCGCAACGGTCCCAGCCGCCGCCGCCAGCCTTGCAGCTCCACTGCCGAGCCCCATGAGGGGCCCAGCGGTGGACCTGCAAGGCCGGCGGGAGTGCAAGGAAGCCCCGCGAAGGCCCTCCCTGGCCCCAGGCAGGCAGGGGTGGGGAGAGGCAGGGAGGAAGCAACTTACCCTCCCTCTTCTCCTGCCTCCTCCTGGCTGAATGAGGGCCGGAAGCGGGGCAGCCGGAAGCAGGGGGCGGGGCTTTGTCATGTGCCCTGCCCCCGTACCTCACCCGGGGGACCTGCCCCGAAATGACCTCTGGCCCCATGTATGACCCAATCACAGAAGCTGGGCAGGGTCAGCCCTGGTTGGTAATTGGATGGGAGCCCACTGAGGAGGTATGCCTAGACAGGCAATGGCAAACCACCTCTGAACGTCTCCTGCCTTGAACACCCCACAGGGTCTCCGTTAAGTCAGCTGCAACTCAATGGGAACTGGCCACTTCTCTTCAGGCTAGCTGGCAGTCCAGCCCACAGCCCACCACGATCCGCTCTGTCTGTTCCCCCTTCTGCTGGGGTTGGATCTTCCAGTGTATTTCCAATGTTTGGGAGATGGGGGGAAGTTTTGTGCAACTGGGGGGCTCTCATATTTATTGATCAGCAGGACATTATTGGGCTAATGTTTTTGGAGGGTGGGGGGAGTACAGGAAAGGGTGAGGAGAGAGAATAACACTTGCCTTGACAAAGGATGTATTTATCCCCTTTCGCAATAAAAGAAAACCGTGTTAGTATCCAGGTGCGTCAGCTCTGCTTTGTGGGAGGACAGAGGACGGCCGTGACATCTTGAACACAGGACCTCGCCCCTCTTTGTCTCTGGGCGCAAACGTCCCTGGCCCAGCAGCCTGACACAGAGAGATGGAGAAGATGAACGGGAGACCCTGTTTAAACACTAATTAACCTCACTTCTCAATAGGGTTGCCATCCCCCTGATGGGGGCGGAGGTTCCCCCATTCTTGGAGGCCCCAATCTGCTGACGGCCAGCTGGCTGGTTGGGAGAGCCCCATCCTCGAAGAGCCCCATCACACCCAACGTGCCTGGTGCGATGACGTCACCCAAAGGTTACGTCATCACGCTGAAAACATTGTGCAAGGGACGGTCTGGCATTTGGGTTAAAGCTCTATGGTGACCATAGAGTTTTTTCCCCAAATGCTAGAGCATCCCCTGCACAACATGCCCAGCATGATGATGTCACTTCCGGATGAATATGACTTCCAGATGAATGATGTCAGTTCCAGCCAGATGATGTCACTTCCAAGCCGGCTAGCCTCGTCCCTCCCCCTCACCCCCCCAGCCAATGGCACGCCAGTTGCCCCAAGTGGCAGCCAGCAGGCCAATGGCTGAGGGAGCGCATTTCCTCTAGGCCGGTGGCCACCCCAAATCCCTTTTATAATAAGGAGAGATATTGCGCCCGCTCGGGATGGTCTGACATCAGACCACCCCGATGGGAGGATTCCACTCGTGCCTGGTGTGGATCTAAAGAGCCATCTGAACGGACCCACAGTGGCCTCAACCAGTTCCTCTGGAGGGCCAACAACAGGGCAGAGAGGCCGAGGCCTTCCCCTCATAAGAACACATGAAGAGCCCTGCTGGATCAGACCAGTGAGGGTCCATCTAGTCCAGCATCCTGTCTCACTCAGTGGCCTCAACCAGTTCCTCTGGATAGACAACCACAGGGCAGAGAGGCCGAGGCCTTCCCCTGATAAGAACATAAGATGAGCATGCTGGATCAGACCACTGGTCCATCTAGTCCAGCATCCTGTCTCATACAGTGGCCTCAGCCAGTTCCTCTGATGTTAAGTCGGTTACTTAACAAAGAGTCAGAGAGTGATTTCAGCAAAAGATCAGCTTTATTCAGCAACTCGTAACTCAACCCCAAACAGATCAACATGAATAGCCAGAACAGCTTTTACATTGCAGCTGTTCTGCTTTTAAACTCTCCCGGCTAATGTAGCCACGCCCACTGTACAAATACCAACCAATGAGGTTGTAGAGATAAGGTCCAATCACAATAGTTCCCGCTCTTGGAACTGGCTGTTGGTGATTGGTGGGCTCTTCCTGGGCTACCAATTACATTTGAAGGATAAGGATCCTAGCCCAGGATGAAAGCTTCACATGGTGATTCAATGAGTGAGTTCACATACATGTCAGATTGAATACACCACATCTGGAGAGCCAACAACAGGGCTGAGAGGCTGGTCTGACCCAGCAGGGCTCTTCTGGCGTTCTTATGTGGGGAAGGCCTCAGCCTCTCTGCCCTGTTGTTGGCCCTCCAGAGGAACTGGTTGAGGCCCCTGTGTGAGACGGGATGCTGGACTAGATGGACCCTCACTGGTCTGATCCAGCAGGGCTCTTCTGACGTTCTTATGAGGGGAAGGCCTCGGCCTCTCTGCCCTGTTGTTGGCCCTCCGGAGGAACTGGTTGAGTCCGCTGTGTGAGACAGGATGCTGGGCTAGAGGGACCCTCACTGGTCTGACCCAGCAGGGCTCTTCTGACATTCTTATGCGGGGAAGGCCTCGGCCTCTCTGCCCTGTTGTTAGCCCTTCAGAGGAACTGGTTGAGGCCACTGTGGGTCCGTTCAGATGGCTCTTTAGATCCGCACCAGGCACGAGTGCCTGGCGGATTTAACGGTAATGT